GAAATCAACCTACAATAACTGAATTAATTGAAAATACTGTATCTCATATTTCAAAGTTTTCCTGGAAAACTAGTAAAGGGATAATTTTGAAACTTTTTGCATGTAAAGACGAAGGTGAAAAGCTCATTTTCCCAAAATTTCAAATTTTTCCAGTGGAAAATTACACTTTAAGCAATATTGGAAATCAACCTACAATAACTGAATTAATTGAAAATACAGTATCACGTATTTCAAAGTTTTCCTAGAAAACTAATGAAGGGAAAATTTTGAAATTTTTTGCATATAAATAGGAAAGTGAAAAGCTCATTTTCCCAAAATTTCAAATTTTTCCAGTAGATAATTACAACATGAGGAATATTGAAAATCAACCTACAATAACTGAATTAATTGAAAATACTGTATCTCATATTTCAAAGTTTTCCTGGAAAACTAGTAAAGGGATAATTTTGAAACTTTTTGCATGTAAAGACGAAGGTGAAAAGCTCATTTTTCCAAAATTTCAAATTTTTCCAGTGGAAAATTACACGTTAAGCAATATTGGAAATCAACCTACAATAACTGAATTAATTGAAAATACAGTATCACGTATTTCAAAGTTTTCCTAGAAAACTAATGAAGGGAAAATTTTGAAATTTTTTGCATATAAATAGGAAAGTGAAAAGCTCATTTTCCCAAAATTTCAAATTTTTCCAGTAGATAATTACAACATGAGGAATATTGAAAATCAACCTACAATAACTGAATTAATTGAAAATACTGTATCTCATATTTCAAAGTTTTCCTGGAAAACTAGTAAAGGGATAATTTTGAAACTTTTTGCATGTAAAGACGAAGGTGAAAAGCTCATTTTTCCAAAATTTCAAATTTTTCCAGTGGAAAATTACACGTTAAGCAATATTGGAAATCAACCTACAATAACTGAATTAATTGAAAATACAGTATCACGTATTTCAAAGTTTTCCTAGAAAACTAATGAAGGGAAAATTTTGAAATTTTTTGCATATAAATAGGAAAGTGAAAAGCTCATTTTCCCAAAATTTCAAATTTTTCCAGTAGATAATTACAACATGAGGAATATTGAAAATCAACCTACAATAACTGAATTAATTGAAAATACTGTATCTCATATTTCAAAGTTTTCCTGGAAAACTAGTAAAGGGATAATTTTGAAACTTTTTGCATGTAAAGACGAAGGTGAAAAGCTCATTTTCCCAAAATTTCAAATTTTTCCAGTGGAAAATTACACTTTAAGCAATATTGGAAATCAACCTACAATAACTGAATTAATTGAAAATACAGTATCACATATTTCAAAGTTTTCCTAGAAAACTAGTGAAGGGAAAATTTTGAAATTTTTTGCATATAAATAGGAAAGTGAAAAGCTCATTTTCCCAAAATTTCAAATTTTTCCAGTAGAAAACAGCAATAGGAAAAATCTTGGAAATCAACCTACAATAACTGAATTAATTGAAAATATGGTCTCACACATTTCAAAGTTTTCTTAGAAAACAAGAGAAGGGAAAATTTTGAAACTTTTTGCATGTAGAAAGGAAGGTGAGACGCTCATTATCCCAAAATTTCAAATTTTTCCAGGGGAAAACAGCAACATGAAAAATCTTGGAAATCAACCTACAATAACTGAATTAATTGAAAATACAGTCTCACACATTCCAAAGTTTTCTTAGAAAACTAGTGAAGGGAAAATTTTGAAACTTTTTGCATGTGAAGAGGAAAGTGAGAAGCTCATTTTTTCAAAATTTCAAATTTTTCTAGTGGAAAATAACAACATGAGGAATATTGGAAATCAACCTACAATAACTGAATTATTTAAAAATACAGTCTCACATATTTCAGAGTTTTCGTGGAAAACTAGCGAAGGGAAAATTTTGAAATTTTTTGCATGTAGAGAGGAAGGTCAGAAGCTCATTTTTCCAAAATTTCAAAATTTTCCAGTGGAAAATAGCAACATGAAAAATCTTGGAAATCAGTCTTCAAAAACTGTATTAATTATTCTTTTGAATTTTTTAAATTTGACAATTTCCTTTAAATTCCTCATAAATTTCTCACAAATTCTCCAAAATTCCCCATAAATTCTTCCAAATTCCCTATAAATTTCCCAAATTCTTATAAATTCCGATCAGTTCCTTCAAACTCCTCTAAATTCCCCATATTTTTGGCAAATAATTCCTAGGTGGTTTGCCCCTTGGGTTTGTTCTTACAGGAATCACAAACCAATTAGAGCAAATTTCATTGATTGAAAATATACCTAGTTGTTGGCAATTTACACCAATCAAAAACACTCTGAGTGGGTGGTTTGTGATTTTTGTGTTCCTAATTCTCTGCTACTGAGCTTCAGATGTACCAGGTGTGTCAAGTTATAAAGTACCACCCCCTGCTAGTTACAGCAACAGTTACAGGGGGTAGTACTTTATAACTTGACACCCTGTATTTACAGTTTGTTTAATTTTATAAGAAGAAAACCCCTTTTGCACTCCTAAGTTCTCACTAAGTATTGGGATAGAATTGAGCTTAAAGTTCTGAACAAAATTTTTGACTAAAGCTCAATCACTTGGTAAGTAAATGTATGAGCTTCAATGCCAAATTTTTGATTGTGAAGAATTTACTGCAATAAAGTTTATAAGACATCGTATTATAACTTTCAATTTTTATATATTCCAGGCGCTAGGCTCTATGAGGTTTTCAAATTGTTCTGAAGTCTTTCAAAATGTTGCTGAAAAGTGTTTTAAAACGTTCTAACTGGCTTATTGAAATTCTAAAGTGAAGTTTTCCAGTTATTTTCTCAATTGTTCTGACAGATTTTTAAGTATGTTAGAGCCTTATTGAAGCTCCAAAGTGTTCTAAATTGATTCAAAAGGGTTCTAAATTGAATCCTAATTGTTCCAAAATAACAAAGGGGTAAACCACCATCTCAGAATTGGTGCAATGAATTCCTCAAAATTCCTGCAAATTCCTCCAGATACCCTATCTCAAATTTCTCCAAATACCCTACCACGAACTTCTCCAAATTCCCCACAAATTCCTCTAAAAAAAGGGAATATTTTGAAACTTTCTGCATGTAAAGAGGAAGGTGAGAAGATCATTTTCCCAAAATTTCAAATTTTTCTAGTGGAAAATAACAACATGAGGAATATTGGAAATTAACCTACAATAACTGAATTAATCGAAAATACAGTCTCATATATTTCAAAGTCTTCCTGGAAAACTAGAGAAGGAAAAATTTGGAAACTTTTTGCATGTAAAGAGGAAGGTGAGAAGCTCATTTTCCCAAAATTTCAAAATTTTCCGGTGGAAAATAGCAACATGGAAAATCTTGGAAATCAACCTACAATAACTGAATTAATTGAAAATACAGTCTCACACATTCCAAAGTTTTCCTGGAAAACTAGTGAAGGGAGAAGTTTGAAATTTTTTGCATGTAGAGAAAGGTGAGAAGCTCATTTTCCCAAAATTTCAAATTTTTTCAGTGAAAAACAGCAACATGAAAAATTTCGGAAATCAACCTGCAAAAACTGAATTAGTTGAAAATACAGTATCACATATTTCAAAGTTTTCCTGGAAAACTAGTGAAGGGAATATTTTGAAACTTTTTGCATGGAAAGAGGAAGGTGGGAAGCTCAATTTCCCAAAATTTCAAATTTTCCTAGTAGAAAATAACAACATGAGGAATATTGGAAATTAACCTACAATAACTGAATTAATTGAAAATACAGTCTCATATATTTCAAAGTCTTCCTGGAAAACTAGAGAAGGAAAAATTTGGAAACTTTTTGCATGTAAAGAGGAAGGTAAGAAGCTCATTTTTCCAAAATTCCAAAATTTTTCAGTAGAAAACAGCAACATGAAAAATCTTGGAAATCAACCTACAATAACTGAATTAATTGAAAATACAGTATCACGTATTTCAAAGTTTTCCTAGAAAACTAGTAATGGGATAATTTTGAAAGTTTTTGCATGTAGAGAGGAAGGTGAGAAGCTCATTCTCCCAAAATTTCAAATTTTTACAGTGGAAAACAGCAACATGAAAAATCTTGAAAATCAACCTACAATAACTGAATCAATTGAAAATACAGTCTCACACATTTCAAAGATTTCCTGGAAAACTAGTGAAGGGAAAATTTTGAAACTTTTTGCATGTAGAGAGGAAGGTGAGCAGCTCATTTTCCCAAAATTTCGAATTTTTCCAGTGGAAAACAGCAACATCAAAAATCTTGGAAATCAACCTACAAAAACTGAATTTGTTGAAAATATAGTCTCACAGATTTCAAAGTTTTCCTGGAAAACTAGTGAAGGGAAAATTTTAAAACTTTTTACATGTAAAGAGGAAGGTGAAAAGCTCGTTTTCCCAAAATTTCAAATTTTTCCAGTAGAAAATTACAACATGAGGAATCTTGGAAATCAAAGTACAATAACTGAATTAATTAAAAATACAGTCTCACACATTTCAAAGGTTTCCTGGAAAACTAGTGAAGGGAAAATTTTGAAACTTTTTGCATGTGGAGAGGAAGGTGAGCAGCTCATTTTCCCAAAATTTCGAATTTTTCCAGTGGAAAACAGCAACATCAAAAATCTTGGAAATCAACCTACAAAAACTGAATTTGTTGAAAATATAGTCTCACAGATTTCAAAGTTTTCCTGGAAAACTAGTGAAGGGAAAATTTTAAAACTTTTTACATGTAAAGAGGAAGGTGAAAAGCTCGTTTTCCCAAAATTTCAAATTTTTCAGTAGAAAATTACAACATGAGGAATCTTGGAAATCAAAGTACAATAACTGAATTAATTAAAAATACAGTCTCACACATTTCAAAGGTTTCCTGGAAAACTAGTGAAGGGAAAATTTTGAAACTTTTTGCATGTAGAGAGGAAGGTGAGCAGCTCATTTTCCCAAAATTTCGAATTTTTCCAGTGGAAAACAGCAACATCAAAAATCTTGGAAATCAACCTACAAAAACTGAATTTGTTGAAAATATAGTCTCACACATTTCAAAGTTTTCCTGGAAAACTAGTGAAGGGAAAATTTTGATATTTTTTTCATGTAAAGAGGAAGGTGAGAAGCTCATTTTTCCAAAGTGTGAAATTTTTCCAGTAGAAAATTACAACATGAGGAATCTTAGAAATCAACCTACAATAATTGAATTAATTGAAAATACAGTATCACGTATTTCAAAGTTTTCCTGGAAAACTAGAGACGGGAAAATTTTGTAACTTTTTGCATGTAAAGAGGAAGGTGAGACGCTCATTTTTTCAGAATTTCGAAGCTTTCCAGTAGAAAACAGCAACATGAAAAGTCTTGGAAGTCAACCTACAAAAACTGAATTAATTGAAAATACAGTCTCACATATTTTAAAGTTTTTCTGGAAAACTAGAGAAGGGAAAAATTTTGAAACTTTTTGCATGTAAAGAGGAAGCGCTCAGTTTCCCAAAAGTTCAAAATTTTCCAGTGGAAAACAGCAACATGAAAAATCTTGGAAATCAACCTATACAAACTGAATTAGTTGAAAATACAGTCTCCCACATCTGAAAGTTTTCCTGGAAAACTAGTGAAAGGAACATTTTGAAACTTTTTGCATGTAAAGAAGAAGATGAGAAGCTCATTTTCCCAAAGTTTCAGATTTTTCCAGTGGAAAATAACAACATGAATATTGGAAATCAACCTACAACAACTGAATTAATTGAAAATACAGTCTCACACATTTCAAAGTTCTCTTAGAAAACTAGTGGAGGGAAAATTTTGAAACTTTTTGGTGTGAAGAACATTTTTTCAAAATTTGAAATTTTTCAAGTAAAAAACAGTGAGATGAAAAATCCGAGGAAAAATCTTGGAAATCCACCTACAAAAACTGTATTCATTATTCTTTTGAATTTTTCAAATTTGACAATTTTCTTCAAATTCCTCATAAATTCCTCACAAATTCTCCCAAATTCTCCATAAATTCCTCCAAAATCCCTATAAATTCCCCAAATTCTCATAACTCCGGATGAATTCCTACAAATTCCAGACATTTTTGCCAAAGAATTCCTAGGTGGTTTGCCCCTTGAAAATAACTATGAACATTCTAAATTGTTCCAAATTGCTCCTGAAAATTCTGATTTAGCTATGAACTATTTTGGATGCTTATTAAAACTCTACAGTAATCTGAATTCGCTCCTGAAAGGCATTTTGCACCTTTCAACCTGAATCCTAAGATTATGGCACTTTTCAATATGTTTCTGTAGATTCTATGATTCTAGAGTATTTTGAAGCGTCCTAAAGTGGGTTTCAAACTTCTGAATTGTTCTAAAATACTTTTGAAAACTGTAAATAGTTTTTTGAATGTTCTGAGGCGTTTTTTGGTGTATAATCTGCAGGAATTAGTATGTTGCATTATGTGTTATGTAAAACATTCCCTAACTTTTACACAACACGTAGTGGTAGATAGCCATAAGTAAAATACTGTGTTTTTCGTCCTTTTTTTTAATTTTCGTATTATAAATAAGTAAAAAACAGTTCAAGAAGATCCTATTGATAGTGTCTATATATAGTCTAGTGATACTATAGGTAGGCGCTGAAATTCACATTGAAGATTCAGAAGTCAGAGACGAGTTTAATTTATCTGAAAATTTTGACATTTTTAGTGATAAGACGTGTAAAAAGACCAATGATATTTCTATTGAATATCACTGTTAGAAAATTCACTCTCTGTTGGTTATTTTTTAGTAAAAAAGTTTCTTCCGGGCTATAATGCCGTGTAGTATTAGTATTTGTACCTAACGTTTTGTCTACTGCTGCGGTAGACATCTTCAGAGGCGGTGTGGTAGGGGACGAAGTGTTCTCTTCCGTGTTCCTCCGATGACTAGATTCGACGTTGTGTTATTTATATCCAGGGTTGTGGGCGTGACTTGTATTACGCTATTTTCCTTGTCTTGTTCTCAGAAAGAAATGGTCTTTGTTTTTCGGAGAACTGGCAACCAGCTTTTGTTGAGGTTCATGCCCTCTTTTTTTTCTGTTGAAATTATTGTGGTGTTTCTGTATCTCTATGGCTTCTTTGTGGAGTGTGCACCCGGATTCCGAACCCACAATTCGATAGTATCGTCTATATATATTACACAGACGATTCTATCGAATCGTGGGTTCGGGATCCGAGCCCTGGTGTAAAAAGGTTCTATCCAATGCTTGAGTCTGCGAATGACATGGTTTGTTTGTGTAAGCACGTGTTCGGCCATTGCTAATCTATCTATTTGTCCCTGCTGATAGTTTCTTTTGTGTTCTGTGACCCTGGTGTTGAGAGAGCGTTTGGTTGTTCCTACATAGACAGATCCACAAGAGCAAGGAGAACGAGACAAGGAACCAAAACCCTGGATATAAATAACGCAGATCCAACAACGTTAAATCCAGTCATCGGAGGAACACGGAAGAGAACACTTCGTCCTCTACCACACCGACTCTGAAGATGTCTACCGCAGCAGTAGACGAAACGTTAGGTAGAAATACTAATGGACTCCGGTTAGTTTTGATGTCGTCTCATTGTTTACTAAGGTACCAGTGAATCAGGCCTTAAAGAATCCTACTTCCTGGACCATGTATATCTGACAATTTGAAGCTGCTGCAAGTACCAATTGATGGAACGACAAAAAAAAAGCTATAGCACTAGGATTCCCAATTTTCGGGATCAGGATCCCGGGATTAAAAAAACTAGACCCCGGGATCCCAGGATTAACCCCAATATATTTTTTTGAATCTAACACCACACCATGAAAGGAAGTAACAGAATAGCCTGTTTACTGATCTTCTATTTACCACTCACAAGATACAAGACTATCAAACATCGGTAAAGAAGTATAACCTTGAGCGCCGCGCCATTCGGGAATTGAGGAATCCTCGTCCGGCATTGGGTGATTCCCATTTCCCACATCTGCTGTAACCTTTAAACTTTACCGGAGTAAAGCCGTATTCAGTGCTGGATTGCAATAATTTGACTATTACCGGCTCTTGAATGATCTTCCTAAAGGGAATCAAGAGGCTGGGATAGTTCAAATTTTGATTATCACCGGCTCTTGAGCCTTAATTCCTTGGATAATTTCTCTAGAGGGAATCAAGAGCCTGCAATAGTCAAATTTTGATTATTAACAACTATATTTCTCTCTAAAATAATTAGATTTCTCCTCCAATTAGGTATACCAATCACGAACGTTATAAACCGCACCCGGCTGCCCTTCATCAAAAACCTCCAAACAAAATCGCCCCAAGTAGAACCCAAATCAATTTTCAACAGGAAACGTATCAAAAAAGAACCCCTGGAAATTAGGAAATCGACTGAAACTCCTCCAACAACTTTGGTTCCAGTCAATAACAAACCAACCTTAGCCAATAACAATAACAACAACATTACTTCAAATTCTGAGTCAGATTCTGATTCCATAATAGCTGAACCCGTCCCAGTAGTAGCAAACGAAATTAAACCAATAGAAGAAATTAAACCTGAACTAATTGAAAACAAAGAGACAATTGAAGCAGTCCAAAATGTCCCACAATTAATCCAAGAAAGCAATAACATTATAACAAATTATGGAGAAATAACTCCTATTAAACTAGAAGATTTAGAAACCATAGACATAATGAATACCCCTATAGAATTAGACAATAGTGAAATTGATATATTAGACATTAAGCCTGAATTGATGCAAGAAACACATGCTAATTTCTTTTCTTTGATTCGTGACGTCATTTGCTCAACCAATGAGCATAGAATGAACATGTATACATTGCAAGAAAGATTAAAAGCCTGGCAAGAGAACCCAATTAGTCCTTTAAATGATTGGTATAGTTACGTGGACAATTGGATCAATATTCTTCCATCAGCAATAACGTTTTTGTGCGGCAATGCCTCAGAACAACCTGACGATTTTGTTCCTTATATGGAATATAAAACACCTTTGGATGTTTACCAGTGGATTGGAGCTGGCAGGGATTCAGACCAGTTATTGAGCAATTTGTGCACCTTTTGGCTACAACATAGAAGCGAAAGCAAAATGATCAAGCCTGTTGAAATCGAGCTGGATATTGCTGACAAAGGTAGTACTCCTCCGCCTCCAAGATGTCCTACAACTTGGGCAGTGAAAAAGGCTTCTGCTGAAGATGTCAAGAGTTATAGGGAACAAGAACGTAGGCGATATGATAATCCTCACAAGGTAATACATATTGATTAGCAAGTAATTTAATAATTATTTAAATTGTAGGCCTTTACATATCGGTGCAATGGTTATGAATCAGTGGTGGGGCCTTTGAAGGGTATCTACTATCCAGCTGCTGCTAATTCAAAAGCAAGAGGCCACACTATGCTCAATGCTGACCGGCCAAACTTTGTTACGATTTTGTCGCTGGTTAGAGACGCCACTGCTCGTTTGCCCAATGGTGAAGGAACTCGGGCTGACATTTGCGAACTATTGAAATCTTCCCAGTATATTTCGGCTACTGCTCCAGAAAATGTGCTGCAGTCTGTTGTTTCTGGTGCGCTGGATAGGATGCATACTCAATGGGATCCTTGTGTCAAGTAAGTATTAAGATGTTTAATTTATGTTGAGATTTACGTTAAAACCTATCACTATAAAACTCGTCTACACTAGCCTTACCAACTAATATCCTGCAGACCTTATTTTTAAACATGTTCAGTGTTGGAGAAACTTTAACCTCATTGGGTTAATGATTGTATATTTTTAAACTCTTGTATATTACAGACTTTTCAGTTAAAGTTGAGGTAGGTATAGGCACAGTATAGATAAAGGTAAGTCAAGAAACAGTTATTTTATGATTTTAGATTTTGGAAAACTTTGGAAGGGCATAACTTTTTTTCTATTACAGATAGAAAGCTGAAACTTTCACTGAAATTTATCCCACTCAAGGGACTACAATCCCTAAAAATTTCAGCTCATTTGCACTTATAGTTCCTGAGATAAAATCGTGTTAAGCAATTTGGGGTGATTTATCAATTTTTCAATTTTTCTGAGTGCCTTTTTTCATAGATTTCGGCTTCAAATCTGAGAATAATTTAGTGTATGGAGTTTGGGGGATGTTAATTGACCAGTAGGATAAAAAATCCCAACAAAAAAAAATTTGAAGTTTTATCGTTTTAGTAAGAAGGTAGCTACCTTATGGTTTTAGATTTTGGAAAACTTTGGAAGGGCATAACTTATTTTCTATTATAGATAGAAAGCTGAAACTTTCACTGAAATTTATCCCATTCAAGGGACTACAATCCCTGAAAATTTCAGCTCATTTGCACTTATAGTTCCTGAGATAAAATCGTGCTAGGCAATTTGGGGTGATTTATCAATTTTTCAATTTTTCTGAGTGCCTTTTTTCATAGATTTCGGCTTCAAATCTGAGAATAATTTAGTGTATGGAGTTTGGGGGATGTTAATTGACCAGTAGGATAAAAAATCCCAACAAAAAAAAATTTGAAGTTTTATCGTTTTAGTAAGAAGGTAGCTACCTTATGATTTTAGATTTTGGAAAACTTTGGAAATTTACCAAAATTCCTTCGAAATATGTTGAAATTTAATGTCATTACATGGGAATTTTTCCAAATTTTACCGAAATTACATGTTTTTAACCAGAATTCTATTTGTGAAATTTTCTGGAATTTTACTTAAATTCAGTAATTCAATGGGAATTTTTCGGAATTTCATTGAAAGTCCATGTTTTTAACTGGGAAAAATAAAACTTTACATCATTACATTGGGATTTTTCGGAATTTCACTAGAATTCCATATGAAACGACAAGAGTTGTTCAAAATTTCATGTTGAGAATTTACACCATGTAATTGTTTAGAATTCCTCGATGCAACTATAATTCAGAATCTCGTGTAATATGTTCGAAATTCCACTGAAATTTCATGTAATTCGAGAGGAACTAAAATTTAATGTGAATTCTATGGAAACTCCGCAAAAGTTTTACATGTAATTTTTTTTTCAGAATAACATAATTCTACCGAAATTCCTCAAAATTCCAGTAAATTAGGGAATTCTTAGAAACTTTAACAGATTTATGAGGATTCCAAAGGAAATATTTTTTAAGAATGTTAATGATTTTATGAAATTTTTCAGGATTTTTTAAGTTTCAATAAAATTGTGTGAGATTTTTATGCGATATCAAGAAATTTTGTGGGATTTTATTAATCTTCTAAGGATTTTTAGAGATTTAAAGTAGATTTAATGAGATTTTCTGGGATTTTGACCAACTTGTACACAGATTTTGACCAGTTGATCCTCGGTTTGTTCCAATTCATCAAAAAAAACCCGTTCCAGAACGGTTCTGGGCCCATTCTATATATACTACGCAAAAATTTTAGGTTTTTTGCGCAGAATCCTGACGGTAATATTACGGTTTCCTGCACATCCGACAAAATTACCGAGTTAGAAATCTAGGGTTTTCAAACCACGAAAAAAGTCATTTACATTTTACATCTGACAAAGGTGATTTGTATATGCAGACTATATACAAATTTTGATCGTCAGAAAACACTATTGAAAATTGAAAAATTGTAGTTGTAATCTTAGATTTAAAAACTTTTTTCTAAGGGTACCCTCTTTGAATTTTTATTTTCAAATCTTCAAAGCTCGATATCTCGGGAACCAAGAGTGGTACCGAGACAAAATTTTCAGGGTTTGTAGCTCTAGTTAAGGGCTTTCAGATGGTATTTAGCTGAAATCGCTAGCTTTTATAGTTTTTGAGAAAATCGGATTTGAAGTTTTGGACAAAATTTTGACTAAAGTTCAACTTTGAAGCTAGATTGCTCATGAACCCATTGAGGTACTGGAACCAGTATGGTATAGTTTTGAAGAGAATTTAATGCTCTTTCCAATGATATATGATTGTAGTTAATTTGCTCAAATTCTATTGTAGATATGGGCAATTATTCATGAGTGTGTCAAGATTTCAAAAAATTTCCATAGGCAAAAATTGAGATTTCCTTTAGGATTTTTTCTCTCATTATAAATCTCGAATCTAACTGATCTAAGAATTGTTTCTGGCTAATTTGAACTCGCTTTATCAATTTCTAAAGTTAAAATTGGGAAAAATTCAAAAATAAAAATTTTCAATTTTTTGCACTTTTTCTTAAGGGGTGTACCCCTTTGGATTTTTATTTGCAAATCTTCAAAACTCGATATCTTGGTAACCAAAAGTGGTACCGAGACTAAATTTGCAGGGTTTGTAGCTCTTGATAAGGGCTTTCAGATGGTATTTAGTTGAAATCGCTAGGGTTTATAGTTTTTGAGAAAATCGAGTTTGAAGTTTTAGACAAAATTTTGACTAAAGTTCAACTTTGAAGCTAGATTGCTCATGAACCCGTTGAGGTACTGGAACCAATATGGTACAGTTTTGAAGAGAATTTAATGCTCTTTCTAATGATATATAATTGTAGTTAATTTGCTCAAATTCTATTGAAGATATGGGCAATTATTCATGAGTGTGTCAAGATTTCAAAAAATTTCCGGAGACAAAAATTGAGATTTCCTTCAGGATTTTTTCTCTCATTATAATTCTCAAATCTAACTGATCTAAGAGTCGTTTCTGACTAATTTGGACTCGCTCTATCGATTTCTGAAGTCAGAATTGGGAAAAATTCGAAAATAAAAATTTTCAATTTTTTGCACTTTTTCTTAAGGGGTACCCCTTTGGATTTTTATTTGCAAATCTTCAAAACTCGATATCTTGGTAACCAAAAGTGGTACCGAGACTAAATTTGCAGGGTTTGTAGCTCTTGATAAGGGCTTTCAGATGGTATTTAGCTGAAATCGCTAGCTTTTATAGTTTTTGATAAAATTGAATTTGAAGTTTTGGACAAAATTTTGACTTAAGTTCAACTTTGGAGTTCGATTGCTCATGAACCCGTTGAGGTACTGGAACCAATATGGTACAGTTTTGAAGATAATTTAATGCTCTTTCCAATGATATGTGATTGTAGTTAATTTGCTCAAATTCTATTGTAGATATGGGCAATTATTCATGAGCGTGTCAATATTTCAAAAAATTGAGGTTTTTTCTCTCATTATAATTCTCAAATCTAACTGATATCATACATCGTAACTGGGTTTCCCTTAAGGTAAAAAGGTCCAAATACCTCAATTTTCCTACCTTCAGGAACCTTGCAATGTTGCCTAATTGTGTTTTTTTTTTTCAGATATGATCAGAAAAGGAAGATATGGATTTACTTGCACCGACACAGGACGGAAGACGATTTCGAACGGATCCACCAACACTACCAAGGAGTGCAAAAAGTAAAGAAAAACACACGAAAATCGCCGGCCAAACCGAAAACCCCCAAAGCGGAAAAACCACCGCCAAAGGCCAAACCTCAAAAACCACCTGTTGTAGCTAATCACGTGACAACGCAACCGTTTGTGATAAAATTAGAAACCGAACAACAAAAACCTGATGAAATCAAAGAAGAAATCCTTGTTGATAATAAAGTTGCTGAGCCTGAAGTTGTAGTGGTACCACAACAAAAAGTACTCAAACCAAAACGACAAACCTTGTACCAACCTAAACTCACTCCAATTGACTCAACTGTACCAAGCTTAGTACCAACAACCCCATCAAAAGGTACCAGTTTACTGATCAGCAACAACCCCCCAAAACAGCTACAAGAAGTATCTGCAAATTTAGAGCCAGAGAAACATCTAAGCATGCTTAAAACTGCCCCAAAAGGCTCTGTGGTGAAAATAATGCCTTCACAAGTAGGCAAATCCATTATCGTACCAACTTCGAACCAGCAAATCTTGAAACAGGTGCCAGAACGACCCAAAAAGGCTCAGGTAAAGCAACAGAGTCTGGCCAGACAGACCAAAAAGGTAATATTTATTTAACGTAATTGTGTAAACTAACCCTTAGTTTAAGCTAACTATTACTACTAACCCTGTCTGGCTTAAGGCTCATAATAATAATTATATTTGAGGTTTGTTTATGAGGCATTAGGGCCAATGAAATCGTGGGTAAAACCAAATGATAGTTGTTGTTGAAACAAACCTCAAGTGACTTTGATTGGTTTGTTCAATGATTTTGTATATTGAGTGAATAATTTTCAGAAAACTAAAGAATTACCAGAAGGCAAAATCCCAGTCAGCATTCATCAGCAAATCGTCCAAGGCCTGACCACGCAACAGCTGCAAAACATCAAAAACGTCACTCTATTACGTACCAACATAGAACCCCAACAAGAAGTTCCAATACCCAAAATGTCATCGCCTAATACTGAAAATATGCAACTGAAAACCACTGCAAGCCTGACAACAGCGCAAACGCAGCAAATACTTCAAACTATTAAGCAAAAGTATGCGGCACCCAACCAGCAGCAAGTTTTGCTGAAGCAAAAAATGGTGCAAGTGAATCAGAAACAACTTCCTACTACTAAAAATGAAGTACCAATGGTGGCAAAAGTCTTGACAAACGCAGCTGGGCAAGTTATATCAGTGGAAAGTTTGCTGGCCCATCAGAAGACTCATGGGAGTTTGCCGCAAGGTAAAAACCACCCATTGTTTGTGTAAATTTTGATTATCTTGGATTTAGGTACCACTCTTCGGGTGCAGAGCAGCAAGGGGCAGCAAAATTTGATTCACTTGACAGGTACTACCACAAAACCCAATAGTGCTATTGCGCACTTTACAGTTGGGACTCAGAATAATCTTGTGGCGTTGACTACGCAGCCTAAGCTTGTGGTTGCCTCGCAAAGTACTACTACTAATGTTACACCGGCCAAACCGCAATCTTCAAGGTAAGAATCATCATTATTATAAAAATCACTTGTGTAAAATACTTCTAATAATTACAGTGACTTGAAACTTTTAGGATTTATGAATTGAAGTTTTCTTTTTGTGGAAAAGTTCATTTGAAGCGAAATTCCACTGGAATCTCACGTGCTTATACAGTACACTATAATTCCCTTGGAAATTTCCCCACTTGTATTATAAATGCAATTGCACTATAATGAACCAAGTTTCTTAATCCAATAAACCCAAGGGGTAAACCACCATCCCAGAATTCGTGCAAATAATTCCTCAAAGGGGAATTTTTTACACATAATTCATGCAAATTCCTACAAATTCCTCCAAATTTCTCCAGATATCACGGAAATATTTAAAACTTTTTGTATATAAAGAAGAAGGTAAGGAGCTTATTTTCACAGAATTTCAAATTTTTCCAGTGGAAAACAGCAACATGAAAAATCTTGGAAATCAACCTACAAAAACTGAATAAGTTGAAAATACAGTCTCATACATTTCAAAGTTTTCCTGGAAAACTAGTAAAGGGAAAATTTTGAAACTTTTTGCATGTAAAGAGGAAGGTGAGAAGTTCATTTTCCCAAAATTTCAAATTTTTTCAGTGGAAAATAACAACATGAAAAATCTTGGTAATCAACTTACAGAAACTGAATTAGTTGAAAATACAGTCTCACACATTTCATAGTTTTCCTGGAAAACTAGTGAAGAGAGAAATTGGAAACTTTTTGCATGTAAAGAGGAAGGTGGGAAGCTCATTTTCCCAAAATTTCAAATTTTTCCAGTGGAAAACAACAACATGAAAAATCTTGGAAATCAACCTACAAAAACTGAATTAGTTGAAAATACAGTTTCACACATTTCAAAGTTTTCCTGGAAAACTAGTGAAGAGAGAAATTGGAAACTTTTTGCATGTAAAGAGGAAGGTGAGAAGTTCATTTTCCCAAAATTTCAAATTTTTTCAGTGGAAAATAACAACATGAAAAATCTTGGTAATCAACTTACAGAAACTGAATTAGTTGAAAATACAGTCTCACACATTTCATAGTTTTCCTGGAAAACTAGTGAAGAGAGAAATTGGAAACTTTTTGCATGTAAAGAGGAAGGTGGGAAGCTCATTTTCCCAAAATTTCAAATTTTTCCAGTGGAAAACAGTAACATGAAAAATCTTGGAAATCAACCTACAAAAACTGAATTAATTAAAAATACAGTCTCACACATTTCAAAGATTTCCTGGAAAACTAGTGAAGGGAAAATTTTGAAACTTTTTGCATATAAAGAGGAAGGTGAGAAGCTTATTTTCCCAAAATTTCAAATTTTTCCAGTGGAAAATAACAACATGAAAAATCTTGGAAATCAGCCTACAAAAACTGTATTCATTATTCTTTCAAACTTTTTAAATTTGACAATTTCCTTCAAATTCCTCATAAATTCCTCACAAATTTTCCCAAATTCCGCATAAATTCCTCACAAATTCTTCTTAATTTCCCACAAATTCCTATAAATTCCCCAAATTTTTGGCAAAGAATTCCTAGGTGGTTTGCCCTCGAATAAACCATACTTACCACATAGTTTCTTCTTTCCAGAAACACATCTCGCACTCACTCCAAAGTCCCCAGCGTTTTGATGAACACCAAAATAGTCGCTGACACTCAAAAAACGACACCCCAAACCAAGGTGGTACCGCTAAAAGTACCCGGGGCAAAAACAACCGCACGGACCGCAAATTTCGCCAGCAGCTTGCGTATGCTCAACACTGGCAATTTGAATCTGACTACTTTAGATGGCAAACCTGTGTTACTAGCTAGCAAAACAGGCTTACAGAGTTTGCACGGACAAAATGTACTTGTACAGGTAATACCTTGTTAAATCAAATTTTCAAAAAGTTTTGAAACACCTTCAATGTCCAAAAATAGTACTGTACAATGTTTAAATTATTCTAGGCTCATCCCGGTACTAATCAAAACGCATCTTCGTTGGTACTGCAAGGAGCAGTTACCAAAAAACCCTCAAGTCAATCTAGTGTCTTAAACCAAACAAGCAGCATTGTTTTTAGTTCAGCAATTAAAAACCAGCTACCGCAACAAGTACTGTTTTCCAGTCAAGGTACCAAAGGGGGTGCTACAACAACACAAGCTGGTAATTTTTTTAAATAATGTATTAAATTTTTAAATAAACATTATATTTTTAGGTCACATAATGTTAGGTAATCAACCAATCCGGTTGCAAGCAGGTACCCCTGCTGGTCAAAGGGTGGTACTAGCCAGCCAAAGCCAAGGCGGTCAAATATTGGCCCAGCAAATTTTACTGCCCGCCGGATTTCAAGGCACTGCCATTAATATTAAGTCTTTGCAAGGGGTGAAGGTTATACCGTTGGCTCAAACGACGCAAAAAGGTAATGGTGGTTAATTAAAAACTTTCTCCCTCGTCTAAAATTGCATTAAAAAGGGAGATTAATTAAAAAGTTTATGGAAATAAGCAGCTTATTTTCTAGGTCAAAGTAGACAGATTGTAGCTAAAGTTATGAGCCCTAGTCTCGTGAAAACTACACAACCGGCACCGGTGCAGCTTCAGCAAGAATCAGTTACTATACATAGCTCGGAAAGTGAATAGTCTTTATTTTTTGTATGTTAATTTATTTATATGTAGTCACTAATTTATTGTTTTTTTGGCAATACTAATTTGGACATTGAAGGTGTTTATTTGTTTATATACTTAGGAAGTCTTTATTTTTTTTTTTTTTGTGGATTGATTAAAGACAAATTTGACAATGAGGGAGTTGTTTCCTTTTACCGTAATGTTGAAATATTTGAACCACTTACCTTGGTCAAGCTGGCCAGGAGAGCTGCAAAAGAAAAGATTGTTGTATTAATAATTTGGTATTTAAAATGTGTAAAGTATATATGATCAATTTTTAAGGGGAAAAAGTCTAAAATCAATTATTTGAATAATGAGTTCAACATTTAGAGGCATTCAGGCACTAGACATTGAGTCTGCTCCTACACTATCATTACAATGTTTTTGATTTCCAAGAAACATGATATCCAAGAAGATACATGGATATTCGGTGAAGATAAGTGGAGATCTACTAGAGGTGGAAATACATGGAGATTCAACAAATTTGGCTACAGTAGTTGTGTAAACATCTTTTTATATAGTACCATGGTTATTAGTGTATATGGAAGGCCACACACACATACAGAAATCCAAATGATCACCATCAAGATCTAAGAATATGCCTGGAAATCTAAGGATATGCCTGAAGATCCAAAGATATGCTTGAAGATCCCAAGATATGCCTGAGGATTCAAGGATATCCAGAGATTTTTTGTCCTAAAATATCGCATTTATTTTTGGATTTTTCTCAAGGAAAGTAAAGTAATTCAGGCCTATGATGATGTATCTTTTTCTGTTATTTTAGCATCAACGTTATGTTATATCTATTATCTATCATTGGTTATTCTATACTCAAGCAAATTTCATCGTTTTAGTAAGAAGACCTTATGATTTAGATTTTCAAAATTTTTGGAAGGGCATAACTTTTTTTCTATTATAGATAGAAAGCTGAAACCTTCACTGAATTTTATCCCTTCCAAAGGACTACAATCCCTGAAAATTTCAGCTCATTTGCACTTATAGTTCCTGAGATAAAATCGTGTTAAGCAATTTGGGGTGATTTATCAATTTTTCAATTTTTCTGAGTGCCTTTTTTCATAAATTTCGGCTTCAAATCTGAGAATAATTTAGTGTATGGAGTTTGGGGTATGTTGATTGACCATTAGGATACAAAATCTCGACAAAAAAAAATTGAAATTTCATCGTTCTAGTAAGAAGTAACCTTATGATTTAGATTTTCGAAAACTTTGGAAGGACATAACTTTTTTTCTATTATAGATAGAAAGCTGAAACTTTCACTGAATTTTATCCCTTTCAAAGGACTACAATCCCTGAAAATTTCAGCTCATTTGCACTTATAGTTCCTGAGATAAAATCGTGTTAAGCAATTTGGGGTGATTTATAAAATTTTTCAATTTTTCTGAGTGCCTTTTTTCATAGATTTCGGCTTCAAATCTGGGAATAATTTAGTGTATGGAGTTTGGGGTATGTTGATTGACCATTAGGATACAAAATCTCGACAAAAAAAATTTGAAATTTCATCGTTCTAGTAAGAAGGTACCTACCTTATGATTTAGATTTTCGAAAACTTTGGAAGGACATAACTTTTTTTCTATTATAGATAGAAAGCTGAAACTTTCACTGAATTTTATCCCTTTCATAGGACTACAATCCCTGGAAATTTCAGCTCATTTGCACTTATAGTTCCTGAGATAAAATCGTGTTAAGCAATTTGGGGTGATTTATCAATTTTTCAATTTTTCTGAGTGCCTTTTTTCGTAGATTTCGGCTTCAAATCTGAGAATAATTTAGTGTATGGAGTTTGGGGTATGTTGATTGACCATTAGGATACAAAATCTCGACAAAAAAAAATTTGAAATTTCATCGTTCTAGTAAGAAGGTACCTACCTTATGATTTAGATTTTCGAAAACTTTGGAAGGACATAACTTTTTTTCTATTATAGATAGAAAGCTGAAACTTTCACTGAATTTTATCCCTTTCATAGGACTACAATCCCTGGAAATTTCAGCTCATTTGCACTTATAGTTCCTGAGATAAAATCGTGTTAAGCAATTTGGGGTGATTTATAAAATTTTTCAATTTTTCTGAGTGCCTTTTTTTATAGATTTCGGCTTCAAATCTGGGAATAATTTAGTGTATGGAGTTTGGGGTATGTTGATTGACCATTAGGATACAAAATCTCAACAACAAAAAAAATTGAAATTTCATCGTTCTAGTAAGAAGGTACCTACCTTATGATTTAGATTTTCGAAAACTTTGGAAGGACATAACTTTTTTTCTATTATAGATAGAAAGCTGAAACTTTCACTGAATTTTATCCCTTTCGTAGGACTACAATCCGTGAAAATTTCAGCTCATTTGCACTTATAGTTCCTGAGATACAATCGTGTTAAGCAATTTGGGGTGATTTATCAATTTTTCAATTTTTCTGAGTGCCTTTTTTCATAAATTTCGGCTTCAAATCTGAGAATAATTTAGTGTATGGAGTTTGGGGTATGCTAATTGACCATTAGGACACAAAATCTCAACAACAAAAAAAATTGAAATTTCATCGTTCTAGTAAGAAGGTACCTACCTTATGATTTAGATTTTCGAAAACTTTGGAAGGACATAACTTTTTTTCTATTATAGATAGAAAGCTGAAACTTTCACTGAATTTTATCCCTTTCGTAGGACTACAATCCCTGAAAATTTCAGCTCATTTGCACTTATAGTTCCTGAGATACAATCGTGTTAAGCAATTTGGGGTGATTTATCAATTTTTCAATTTTTCTGAGTGCCTTTTTTCATAAATTTCGGCTTCAAATCTGAGAATAATTTAGTGTATGGAGTTTGGGGTATGTTGATTGACCATTAGGATACAAAATCTCGACAAAAAAAAATTTGAAATTTCATCGTTCTAGTAAGAAGGTACCTACCTTATGATTTAGATTTTCGAAAACTTTGGAAGGACATAACTTTTTTTCTATTATAGATAGAAAGCTGAAACTTTCACTGAATTTTATCCCTTTCATAGGACTACAATCCCTGAAAATTTCAGCTCATTTGCACTTATAGTTCCTGAGATACAATCGTGTTAAGCAATTTGGGGTGATTTATCAATTTTTCAATTTTTCTGAGTGCCTTTTTTCATAAATTTCGGCTTCAAATCTGAGAATAATTTAGTGTATGGAGTTTGGGGTATGCTAATTGACCATTAGGACACAAAATCTCAACAACAAAAAAAATTGAAATTTCATCGTTCTAGTAAGAAGGTACCTACCTTATGATTTAGATTTTCGAAAACTTTGGAAGGACATAACTTTTTTTCTATTATAGATAGAAAGCTGAAACTTTCACTGAATTTTATCCCTTTCATAGGACTACAATCCCTGAAAATTTCAGCTCATTTGCACTTATAGTTCCTGAGATACAATCGTGTTAAGCAATTTGGGGTGATTTATCAATTTTTCAATTTTTCTGAGTGCCTTTTTTCATAAATTTCGGCTTCAAATCTGAGAATAATTTAGTGTATGGAGTTTGGGGTATGCTAATTGACCATTAGGACACAAAATCTCAACAACAAAAAAAATTGAAATTTCATCGTTCTAGTAAGAAGGTACCTACCTTATGATTTAGATTTTCGAAAACTTTGGAAGGACATAACTTTTTTTCTATTATAGATAGAAAGCTGAAACTTTCACTGAATTTTATCCCTTTCGTAGGACTACAATCCGTGAAAATTTCAGCTCATTTGCACTTATAGTTCCTGAGATACAATCGTGTTAAGCAATTTGGGGTGATTTATCAATTTTTCAATTTTTCTGAGTGCCTTTTTTCATAAATTTCGGCTTCAAATCTGAGAATAATTTAGTGTATGGAGTTTGGGGTATGCTAATTGACCATTAGGACACAAAATCTCAACAACAAAAAAAATTGAAATTTCATCGTTCTAGTAAGAAGGTACCTACCTTATGATTTAGATTTTCGAAAACTTTGGAAGGACATAACTTTTTTTCTATTATAGATAGAAAGCTGAAACTTTCACTGAATTTTATCCCTTTCATAGGACTACAATCCCTGAAAATTTCAGCTCATTTGCACTTATAGTTCCTGAGATACAATCGTGTTAAGCAATTTGGGGTGATTTATCAATTTTTCAATTTTTCTGAGTGCCTTTTTTCATAAATTTCGGCTTCAAATCTGAGAATAATTTAGTGTATGGAGTTTGGGGTATGCTAATTGACCATTAGGACACAAAATCTCAACAACAAAAAAAATTGAAATTTCATCGTTCTAGTAAGAAGGTACCTACCTTATGATTTAGATTTTCGAAAACTTTGGAAGGACATAACTTTTTTTCTATTATAGATAGAAAGCTGAAACTTTCACTGAATTTTATCCCTTTCGTAGGACTACAATCCGTGAAAATTTCAGCTCATTTGCACTTATAGTTCCTGAGATACAATCGTGTTAAGCAATTTGGGGTGATTTATCAATTTTTCAATTTTTCTGAGTGCCTTTTTTCATAAATTTCGGCTTCAAATCTGAGAATAATTTAGTGTATGGAGTTTGGGGTATGCTAATTGACCATTAGGACACAAAATCTCAACAACAAAAAAAATTGAAATTTCATCGTTCTAGTAAGAAGGTACCTACCTTATGATTTAGATTTTCGAAAACTTTGGAAGGACATAACTTTTTTTCTATTATAGATAGAAAGCTGAAACTTTCACTGAATTTTATCCCTTTCGTAGGACTACAATCCCTGAAAATTTCAGCTCATTTGCACTTATAGTTCCTGAGATACAATCGTGTTAAGCAATTTGGGGTGATTTATCAATTTTTCAATTTTTCTGAGTGCCTTTTTTCATAAATTTCGGCTTCAAATCTGAGAATAATTTAGTGTATGGAGTTTGGGGTATGTTGATTGACCATTAGGATACAAAATCTCGACAAAAAAAAATTTGAAATTTCATCGTTCTAGTAAGAAGGTACCTACCTTATGATTTAGATTTTCGAAAACTTTGGAAGGACATAACTTTTTTTCTATTATAGATAGAAAGCTGAAACTTTCACTGAATTTTATCCCTTTCGTAGGACTACAATCCGTGAAAATTTCAGCTCATTTGCACTTATAGTTCCTGAGATACAATCGTGTTAAGCAATTTGGGGTGATTTATCAATTTTTCAATTTTTCTGAGTGCCTTTTTTCATAAATTTCGGCTTCAAATCTGAGAATAATTTAGTGTATGGAGTTTGGGGTATGCTAATTGACCATTAGGACACAAAATCTCAACAACAAAAAAAATTGAAATTTCATCGTTCTAGTAAGAAGGTACCTACCTTATGATTTAGATTTTCGAAAACTTTGGAAGGACATAACTTTTTTTCTATTATAGATAGAAAGCTGAAACTTTCACTGAATTTTATCCCTTTCATAGGACTACAATCCCTGAAAATTTCAGCTCATTTGCACTTATAGTTCCTGAGATACAATCGTGTTAAGCAATTTGGGGTGATTTATCAATTTTTCAATTTTTCTGAGTGCCTTTTTTCATAAATTTCGGCTTCAAATCTGAGAATAATTTAGTGTATGGAGTTTGGGGTATGCTAATTGACCATTAGGACACAAAATCTCAACAACAAAAAAAATTGAAATTTCATCGTTCTAGTAAGAAGGTACCTACCTTATGATTTAGATTTTCGAAAACTTTGGAAGGACATAACTTTTTTTCTATTATAGATAGAAAGCTGAAACTTTCACTGAATTTTATCCCTTTCATAGGACTACAATCCCTGAAAATTTCAGCTCATTTGCACTTATAGTTCCTGAGATACAATCGTGTTAAGCAATTTGGGGTGATTTATCAATTTTTCAATTTTTCTGAGTGCCTTTTTTCATAAATTTCGGCTTCAAATCTGAGAATAATTTAGTGTATGGAGTTTGGGGTATGCTAATTGACCATTAGGACACAAAATCTCAACAACAAAAAAAATTGAAATTTCATCGTTCTAGTAAGAAGGTACCTACCTTATGATTTAGATTTTCGAAAACTTTGGAAGGACATAACTTTTTTTCTATTATAGATAGAAAGCTGAAACTTTCACTGAATTTTATCCCTTTCGTAGGACTACAATCCGTGAAAATTTCAGCTCATTTGCACTTATAGTTCCTGAGATACAATCGTGTTAAGCAATTTGGGGTGATTTATCAATTTTTCAATTTTTCTGAGTGCCTTTTTTCATAAATTTCGGCTTCAAATCTGAGAATAATTTAGTGTATGGAGTTTGGGGTATGCTAATTGACCATTAGGACACAAAATCTCAACAACAAAAAAAATTGAAATTTCATCGTTCTAGTAAGAAGGTACCTACCTTATGATTTAGATTTTCGAAAACTTTGGAAGGACATAACTTTTTTTCTATTATAGATAGAAAGCTGAAACTTTCACTGAATTTTATCCCTTTCATAGGACTACAATCCCTGAAAATTTCAGCTCATTTGCACTTATAGTTCCTGAGATACAATCGTGTTAAGCAATTTGGGGTGATTTATCAATTTTTCAATTTTTCTGAGTGCCTTTTTTCATAAATTTCGGCTTCAAATCTGAGAATAATTTAGTGTATGGAGTTTGGGGTATGCTAATTGACCATTAGGACACAAAATCTCAACAACAAAAAAAATTGAAATTTCATCGTTCTAGTAAGAAGGTACCTACCTTATGATTTAGATTTTCGAAAACTTTGGAAGGACATAACTTTTTTTCTATTATAGATAGAAAGCTGAAACTTTCACTGAATTTTATCCCTTTCGTAGGACTACAATCCCTGAAAATTTCAGCTCATTTGCACTTATAGTTCCTGAGATACAATCGTGTTAAGCAATTTGGGGTGATTTATCAATTTTTCAATTTTTCTGAGTGCCTTTTTTCATAAATTTCGGCTTCAAATCTGAGAATAATTTAGTGTATGGAGTTTGGGGTATGTTGATTGACCATTAGGATACAAAATCTCGACAAAAAAAAATTTGAAATTTCATCGTTCTAGTAAGAAGGTACCTACCTTATGATTTAGATTTTCGAAAACTTTGGAAGGACATAACTTTTTTTCTATTATAGATAGAAAGCTGAAACTTTCACTGAATTTTATCCCTTTCGTAGGACTACAATCCCTGAAAATTTCAGCTCATTTGCACTTATAGTTCCTGAGATACAATCGTGTTAAGCAATTTGGGGTGATTTATCAATTTTTCAATTTTTCTGAGTGCCTTTTTTCATAAATTTCGGCTTCAAATCTGAGAATAATTTAGTGTATGGAGTTTGGGGTATGTTGATTGACCATTAGGATACAAAATCTCGACAAAAAAAAATTTGAAATTTCATCGTTCTAGTAAGAAGGTACCTACCTTATGATTTAGATTTTCGAAAACTTTGGAAGGACATAACTTTTTTTCTATTATAGATAGAAAGCTGAAACTTTCACTGAATTTTATCCCTTTCATAGGACTACAATCCCTGGAAATTTCAGCTCATTTGCACTTATAGTTCCTGAGATACAATCGTGTTAAGCAATTTGGGGTGATTTATCAATTTTTCAATTTTTCTGAGTGCCTTTTTTCATAAATTTCGGCTTCAAATCTGAGAATAATTTAGTGTATGGAGTTTGGGGTATGTTGATTGACCATTAGGATACAAAATCTCGACAAAAAAAAATTTGAAATTTCATCGTTCTAGTAAGAAGGTACCTACCTTATGATTTAGATTTTCGAAAACTTTGGAAGGACATAACTTTTTTTCTATTATAGATAGAAAGCTGAAACTTTCACTGAATTTTATCCCTTTCGTAGGACTACAATCCCTGAAAATTTCAGCTCATTTGCACTTATAGTTCCTGAGATAAAATCGTGTTAAGCAATTTGGGGTGATTTATCAATTTTTCAATTTTTCTGAGTGCCTTTTTTCGTAGATTTCGGCTTCAAATCTGAGAATAGTTTAGTGTATGAAGTTTGGGGGATGTTAATTGACCATTAGGATACAAAATCTCAACAAAAAAAAATTTGAAATTTCATCGTTTTAGTAAGAAGGTAGCTACCTTATGGTTTTAGATTTTGGAAAACTTTGGAAGGACATAACTTTTTTTCTATTATAGATAGAAAGCTGAAACTTTCACTGAATTTTATCCCTTTCATAGGACTACAATCCCTGGAAATTTCAGCTCATTTGCACTTATAGTTCCTGAGATAAAATCGTGTTAAGCAATTTGGGGTGATTTATCAATTTTTCAATTTTTCTGAGTGCCTTTTTTCATAAATTTCGGCTTCAAATCTGAGAATAATTTAGTGTATGGAGTTTGGGGTATGTTGATTGACCATTAGGATACAAAATCTCGACAAAAAAAAATTTGAAATTTCATCGTTCTAGTAAGAAGGTACCTACCTTATGATTTAGATTTTCGAAAACTTTGGAAGGACATAACTTTTTTTCTATTATAGATAGAAAGCTGAAACTTTCACTGAAATTTATCCCACTCAAGGGACTACAATCCCTGAAAATTTCAGCTCATTTGCACTTATAGTTCCTGAGATAAAATCGTGTTAAGCAATTTGGGGTGATTTATCAATTTTTCAATTTTTCTGAGTGCCTTTTTTCGTAGATTTCAGCTTCAAATCTGAGAATAATTAAGTGTATGGAGTTTGGGGTATGTTAATTGACCATTAGGACACAAAATCTCAACAAAAAAAAAATTGAAATTTCATCGTTCTAGTAAGAAGGTACCTACCTTATGATTTAGATTTTCGAAAACTTTGGAAGGACATAACTTTTTTTCTATTATAGATAGAAAGCTGAAACTTTCACTGAATTTTATCCCTTTCGTAGGACTACAATCCCTGAAAATTTCAGCTCATTTGCACTTATAGTTCCTGAGATAAAATCGTGTTAAGCAATTTGGGGTGATTTATCAATTTTTCAATTTTTCTGAGTGCCTTTTTTCGTAGATTTCGGCTTCAAATCTGAGAATAATTTAGTGTATGAAGTTTGGGGGATGTTAATTGACCATTAGGATACAAAATCTCAACAAAAAAAAAATTGAAATTTCATCGTTACCTTATGATTCTGCTTAAAATGGCCATTCGGAAACGGTGTCAGGGTTGTTTTCCACTAATTTTGACCCGCTCTATCGATTGGTGAAGTCAAAATTGAGAAAAACTGAAAAATAAAAAAATCGAGTTTTTCATAATTGGAATTCTAATTTCAAAATATTCAAACCTCAATGGCTCGGTAACCGCGTTGAGTAAATAGCATTGAAATTTTCAGCATTTATAGCTCTTATTAAGCTCTAAATAGCCTGTGATTCACAGTATTCCCAGATTCATAGTTTTTGAGCAACTTGAGTTTAAAGTTTTTGACAAAATTTGGACTTTGAGGCTCAATTGCTCAAAAACTATTTGAGCTATCAAACTCAATTTTAGAGAATTTAATGCTCTTTCCAATAGTATATAATTTATTTCAATTTCCTCAAAATTTAACAAAAATATAGGCAATTTGTTTACCTAATATATAATATTCAAACATCATATACCTACTGGACAATTAAATATTATCCACAATTTTACATAATACACTCGATAAATAATTTGCCGTCGTCCTCAATTAAATCCATCTCGAAACCAATTAAAATTTTCCGGAACGAGGCTTTATGAAAAGAGCGCAAGCCTGGCCGCGTTGTTAGGGCCCGAGGAGCAACAGGACAGCATCCACAATTTCCCAGACCGATCCAGATCTTGCTTGACTCTAGATAGAGCTATTTATTGAGTGTTTTTTGAACAATATAATAGTGAAGAGAGGTAAGTCACAATTAATATAATCTATTTGTTTCAAATATTTAAATACAAAGTGACGTTTTTCTGACGTTTGGAGAAAAAATTAGTTTTATATGCCTATGTGTTTCCAGTTAAAGCCTATTATTATAATAACCATGATAAAAAATTGTTCCAGTTTCTTCAAAAAGAAAAATATAATGCTTAACTGCCTTAACTACATTATTGTGGCGCCAGCACGTTTCGACTCAGTCATCGACCATCTTCGGGTCAATTTTCCAGACGAGCCCCTCAATGCTTCAGTAGGCCTGTGCCTGCACGGGACACCTTGTCCTTTACTGGAACACCACGATATGAAAACTATGGAAGACGGGTATTCTTTAATGGCAATCGATAAGGAAAATGATAAGGTAATTGAATTTTATCGCCGCCGGGTGAGGAATTTCATTAGAGGCATTCTTCAACTGAATCGTGCATTCCTCTCTGCTGTGGCATTCCAGGTTTATTGACAATCGATTTATTTTTCTGGATAGTAGAAGCAAGAGGTTTTGGGCCTTTAGTATTTGGAAGTATTTGTAAATGATTGGCAACAATGTTTCCTGCCAAGCATTTTAATTCTTGAAAAACAGCTGGACTGTTTGCCAAACCAAAAGGTATACTCGAAGATATTTGTAGTAGATTACCAAACGCTGTTTTATGCGTGGATTATTAGGTACCCATGATGAAATCCTGCCACTAGATCCAGTGTTGTATAATAGCATTTCCTAGCCAGTTTATCCAGTTGGCATAGCGTACCTGTCTCTAAAATTTAAACGACACACAGCCTAATATCGCCATTCTTCTTTGGGACTGGCGTATATATTAAGATTCAAATTCCCATAATCCTGGAAATTCATTATAGCTTCTTCTAGATTGCAGGTGTAGCTCTAAACGGCGTATCCCATAAAGGAGACACCGAAAAGGCCGTAGAAGAAATGAAAGACATCGACAATTTGCAATATCGACGAATCTTTGGGCTCCTAAACGAGGCCAACTTGGAGCTGGACTTATTTACAAAGTACAACGTAGACAAGATTTTTGAAGTCAGAATCTTATCAGTGGATTCTGGATATAGAGGCAAAGGCATTGCCAAGGAGTTGTTTGTCCAAAGTGAAGCTGTTGCTAGAAAACATGGATTCAAAGTTTGTGACAATCCAGCTCTGTTCCAACTGACATGAGAACAGTTCCAAGAATTGACTGACTATTCTAGAACAGTTCTCATATGTCAGTTGGAACACAGAACTATATATAAATCACTATCATTTGGTAAATTTTTAGGTGATGAAAACCGATGCAACGAGTCTTTTTACCCAAAAAGTAGCCGAAAGTCAAGGCTTTTGGGTGGAAAAAACATTGAATTATCACGATTTCAAAGACGAAAATGGCCAGAAAATTTACGACACTAGACCACCTCATTTGTATTACAAAGTAATGGCCAAATTACTAGAGTAAAAACAAGGACAATACTGGAATGTTAATACTGCCACTGCCATGCAGAATTATACATTTTTGATGAATCGAAGTCTTTATTACAGAGGAACTACTAGACACTTTATTGAATGTTAGTTTTCTATATAAGGCAAAAAAAGGGTGTAATTTTTGATATTCAAAGTACCTACTTATACAGACGTGTAATAAATATTTTTCGCTAGTAAATATATCATCAATTAATTTATCCTATAGGAACTTTTAAACAGGAAGTTATAGTTTCGGTTTGGTAACAATCTGTTTGTAAATCGGCCCTAATTAACAATTTCAATTAATATACAGTTTAACAAAATAAATTTGCTGTGGGGGGTTAAAATCTTCCATGTTAGAGGGTGTTTTTCCCCAGGATTTATGGAATAGAGACTCAAGGCAAACTTTAAAACTTAAAATGTTCAATTTATTTTCATTGAAAAGTCAATATTTGTCTATTCCCGGCTCTTGATTGGATTTTCAGTTAATCCAACGGATTGACATTGTTTTTGAGTTCTAAATTCACAATTTCAGTCATCAGTGATTTCAAATTTTCAAGATTCAATATTATCCCAATCAAGAGCCGGGAATAATGAAAATTTGAATCTTTTAATACTAAACTCAAACTCTATTGTCCTCAAACTAATCTAAACTAACCCAATCAAGGAACCAAGAGCCGGGAATAGTAAAAATTTTAATCTTTTAATTAATATGAAACTCAAACTCTATTGTGCAATTTGTACCAACCCAACTATAAGATAGACAACCAACCATACATACCCTTCCATGTAAAGTTAAATAGGAGTTAGGTTTCATACAAATTGCACCATTTTAATATTATGATTTCTGGACACCAAATTAGGACAAAACTGCTCATAGTAAATTGCTCATTGTTGAAGTTTCCAACTAGAAGTTTGTAATTATTATTAATCCAGAGGGCCAAATAACCTAAAATTGTCTCAAATACAATGAATAAAACTTCTGGAAAAACTCCCGAAAAAAGAAAATTACATTAGTCTGGATCCCTGGAGCCAGAAGTAAATTATTCTTTCAGAAGCCATTAAGGCCTGACAGACACGTGTGTGAAGTTGCGATTTTCGCTCGAGGGTTAGCGATATCACGTTTTCTTTGTGTGTGTGTGCTGTACAAAACTTCCTCAAAAACTTAGTTTTCCAGAGAGAAAAATTCCAGGGAAACTTTTATAGTTTCCAGAGAGGAAACTCAGCGGTGGAAGTTAAATTGAGTATGATTTTTTTTGGTCTTATATAGAGAACATTTTGTACAAATATTATTATGGTTGAAAAGAAATAAAAATACGAACTCCTTTAATCTGGATTTCTACAATTTTCCACAGCCAGGATTCGAGTAAAATTGAAAATTGACAACATAAGCTCTGTGTGTTTCTTGTTGTATGTTGGTCCGAGGCTGCTGGACGAATTTATCGGGAAACTGGGGGCTTTTTCAATAAACTCTATCAAAGACGGACCGGTATTTTGTCTCTATATTGTATTTTTGTACGAAAATATAGAGCTTAGAGCAGGTTCAAATCGAAAAGTATATAAAGTCCAAATATTCAGGAATAAAGGAAAAATTGAATAATTAAAGCTGAAGCCGAACTGAATGTTTTATAAGCCAAAATAAGCTTTTTTTAAAACGAGGCCGATAAATCTAGATTCGATTCCGGTCAGTTTCCGCCCTTTTGCATACTCTACGATTTATAGGCCATTTTTATAGTAATATATATTCTTTTCTCCTACAGCTTTTGAATAATCATACAGTTTAGTATATTTTCGTATGGTTCTCCATTCGTAAACCAAAAAAAAAAGATATATTGACCTCGATAAATTAATATATTGCGACATAATTATTCAATTCTTTTAAACTTAAATGATGCAATTTCAAGGAAATTACATCATTATTTTTAATAGTATTTAGGTCGGCCAATGGGATTGTCTGATTGATCGTCAAACGACCGCCTATTGATGATTCTGGGGGATAATTAATAATACTTTGCGGGGGGATCGATTTAATATAAATACCGCAGTTTTAGAAGTGGAAGGAAGTTGTCAGTTGAGAGATGAGTTCGCAGTCCTGTCCAGTTTGAGTTAAAATCTACAGTACCTAAAGTGTCAGTCCGGAACGTTTCTTGTATTGCCTCGGTAACAGTCTTTGAAAAAGTAGCGGAAAAATTTTGAAAGAAAGAACAATTAAATTCGTCAACATTTATGTGCGTGCTAGCTAAAAAATTTTGAGTAATTAATTAAGTAATTTTACGTGTGCAAAGTAAAATGTAAGTACTTTAGTGTTTAATAATTTTCTGACTTTTACCAATGATTCTGAATGATAAGAAGTGAATTAACAATGACTTTTAATGCCTAAATACTTGTGATTTTTACTAGAAAAACTTTTGACTTTATGATTAATTGTGGAACTTCATTGCATAAATATCAATAACTCGAGTGTTTTGAAAGTGGAACATTATTGCATAACTATACAGGGCTTTTAGAAGTGGTTTGCATGTTATCCATAGAAGTGATTTGGTTATTGAAGAACATCAATGGATTCGGAGGAATAACTCATGGAAAAGGTATGACAAAACAGCAGCAGTTTGTCTGGGTTATGTCACATCTTATTTCCGCCCATTTCAATGAATGCATGCAGGAATTTGCTTCAGTGAAGCATACCATCAAGTGAGCAACATGTTACTATATGACCAGCTCAAGAACTGCACGCGATACAGGAGATACACAAAAAGTGATGGTATATAATGTATTTGAGCGAGACAGCAATCTGCGGAACATTGTCACGGGAGTTACTTATGGAGGTGATGTAAATTCTCTCTATACTATATTGGTTGAAACGCCCTACCAGGACTAGTGCGAACGCACGGAGGACATTTGATAAGTTGTAATGAAAATAACCAATTAATCAGGCTTATGATGTATCCACTTCTGTTATTTTAACAGCTATGTTATAGCTCAACATCTATACTTCTCTTTATTTTGACGTACAGAATAAACAGTGACAGACAACTTAGCGTTACTGGTAAAGCAACAGAAAATGATATATTATAAGCCTGAATGTTGGATTTGGTTCAACCATAGATTTGCCACCTATAGTGAAAACAGGTTCACCTCGTTAAGGGTAGTGGTGAAGCCACTCGTGGACGGTCTTGGTCAGGATGGTAGGATACAGGTTCTGGAGGCCCTAGCCTAATGCCTTTCGCTAGAATTTCAAGAATTTCAAATGGATCTAACAATCACATGATAAGTTCTTAGGCTTAGACTATGAAAATGACCAATAGAATTAATATAAGTAGGAACATCCTCTTGCACTCTTGTATTTTTTCAAAGAACTGTCGAGAAAAACATTTTGAAACTTTTAGTATAGAAAGAGAAAGGTTAGAAGCCTGTGTTACCCAAGACCCAAACAAGAGTAACCTACGGTGAGTAGATGGCTGCGGAACGAGCGCAGCGAGGTCCACCCATAAGTTCCGCAATACTCCACTTATTTGTACAGGTTGTTTTTTTTATATATTAACACCCCACCTACAGCCTTTACCTTTACAGGTAGAAGAAAGGTGTAAATACAAAAGTTATTAAGTACAGTTTTGGCTGAATTTTTACAAACCAAGGTCAGAAATATTATTTGAATGTCAGACGTGAAATTTTGCATACTTTCAGCTTTTTCAATTTGCCCTTTAACAGGAATTCGTAATGTTTATTTTACCAAACTAGTAACATAATTTGACAAGTTATTCAAGTACAAACGAGTATATTGTTGCGGAACTTATGTGTAGACCTCTGCGGGACGAGCGCAGCGAGTTCCGCAGCCATCTATTCATCAATATGTTGTTTAATATCGATACTAACTTGACTCACTGTGAGTTATTCTCATTAGTTTAAAAACTACACGTTTTAGGTGAATGTCTTATTTGAACAGTTCAATATTATATTGGTGAGTAGATGGCTGCGGAACTCGCTGCGCTCGTCCCGCAGAGGTCCACGCATAAGTTTTGCAATAATCCACTTATTTGTACTTGACCAATAACTTATATAAAGTCAAAATTTGTAAGACTATGATTATTCACTTTTTGTCAATTTGCCTTTCAATAGTAATAAGTAATGTTACTTTACCAAACTAGTAACATAATATGACAAGTTATTCAATTACAAATGAATGAATCATTGCGGAACTTATGGGTGGACCTCTGCGGGACGAGCGCAGCGAGTTCCGCAGCCATCTATTCATCAATATGTTGTTTAATGTCGATACTAACTTGGCTCACTCAAATGTGTGTTATTCTCATTGGCTTTAAAAACTACATGTTTCAGGTGAATGTCTCACTTGAACAGTTCAACAGTATATTGGTGAGTAGATGGCTGCGGAACTCGCTGCGCTCGTCCCGCAGAGGTCCACCCATAAGTTTTGCAATAATCCACTCATTTGTACTTGACCAATAACTTATATAAAGTCAAAATTTGTAAGACTATGATTATTCACTTTTTGTCAATTTGCCTTTCAATAGTAATAAGTAACATTACTTTACCAAACTAGTAACATAATGTGACAAGTTATTTAATTACAAATGAATGAATCGTTGCGGAACTTATGGGTGGACCTCTGCGGGACGAGCGCAGCGAGTTCCGCAGCCATCTATTCATCAATATGTTGTTTAATGTCGATACTAACTTGGCTCACTCAAATGTGTGTTATTCTCATTGGCTTTAAAAACTACATGTTTCAGGTGAATGTCTCACTTGAACAGTTCAACAGTATATTGGTGAGTAGATGGCTGCGGAACTCGCTGCGCTCGTCCCGCAGAGGTCCACCCATAAGTTTTGCAATAATCCACTTATTTGTACTTGACCAATAACTTATATAAAGTCAAAATTTGTGAGATTATGGTTAATAACTTTTTGTCAATTTGCCTTTTAACAGAAATAAGTAACGTTAGCTTACCAAACTAGTAATATAATGTGACAAGTTATTCAAGTACAAATGAGTGAATCGTTGCGGAACTTATGGGTGGACCTCTTATAAAGTCCAAATCAATGGGTGGCATGAATAAAAACGAAATACTTGCTACTACTACAAGTAGTAGTATATGCTACGAAGTATCTACTTCACAACGAAGGCTTTACTAATTTCCTGTAGTTTCAAAATGTAGTATCTACTATCTACTACTTCCTGAA